ATCCATAGTCCCCACTGAGCTGAACTTTTAGAGTCTGCTAGTGATAATACAGCCACATCATAATGCTTATTTGCAAATTTAGATATAGTGGAAGATGTAAGATATGCTTCTTGTATTAATACGACATCAATGTGTTTTCTATGGAGATAATCTAAGCAGCAAGCTCTCTTATTAGGTGAATTCAAGCCACATACGTTCCAAAACAATACTGAAATCTCAGCCATAATGAGTGTTAGATATCTGAAATGAAATCACAGAAATAGTAGATATCACATATATTTGAAAAAACATAGGTGCAACTGAGTCAAAAATAACTGTATTGTTCAAAAATGAAAGTAAGTCCCTATCCCAAATCCCTCGCCACAGGCCCCCCACCCTACATGCCCATCTCAGTAGAAACTATATAATGTGTTTCTGGATAAACATGTCACCTATCATAATAGGCCAGAGAAAAAACAAGAAAGAATAAACAAAACACATGAAGGTTACGTCCTTCCTACGGTGCTTGTAACCTGGAGCTATTAACCTCAGTGCTCCCTTATCGTCTCATGAGCACCACCCCCCTACTGCCCAACAAAGTATATTCTCCCGTCACCTCCTGTCATATATTACTAAATAGCAGTTCACTGAATATTTCATAGATTCCTTAATAGAATAAAATAAATTGTGCCCCAAATCAATCAAAAAGAATGGGTTAGGGGAGAAAATTAGATCAAAACAAGTCCGTGTCGTCTTAGTAAACATCCTCTCCCTTTTCCCATCTTGATATTGTCCATTAAAACGTCACACATTGTTTCAGGAAGTAAATACATCAGTAGAAGTAACTAAACACAAGTGAACCAACTAAATGAGCAGGAGAGTCCATTTCATGCAAAAATCAAAGTGAATAGTCTTTGGGAAAAAAGAAGTCCCACTCCTCATATATCGATGATCAAAAAGGGATCAAAAAATTAACGTAGGGGGGAAAAAAACACAGTCTTACCTCACTCAAGTTATGAGTTTCGGAAATGAGACCTCACGTTACTCCAACTGCTTGGCGAGTGATCCTCAAAAAGGACAATGTTGTTCTGATGCCAGATACGAAGCCGGTGAGGGTATGCAAGACATACCCCTCTCAGAGAAAGCTTTGATCGCCCGGTCAAACTCCTTGCGCTTTCGGCGGACCTCCGTCCTGGTGGACGGTAAGTTTGGCATTGCCCTCGATGATCGATGTTTACTTTGCTGATTGCAGTATCCGCTCTTTATCTCTGAAACGTAAAAAGCTAATCAGAACTGGATGGAGGCTTTCCAGGTTCTGGAAGTGTTCGAAGAGAGCGGTGTACTCGCTCCAGCTCGAGAGGGTTATCCAGGGAGAGTTTTAGCCAGCAGGGCAGTTTCTGTTGAATATAATCAAGTAATATTTGACTGCCCTCCGACTTCTCAGGAAGCCCCAGAAGAACCACATTTTTTCTTCTCCCTCTATTCTCTAAATCATCAGTCTTGGATTCCAAAGCTTTAATTATTGTCTCAGCTCTGTGTAGATCTCTTTTGGTGGAGTGTAGATTATCTTCTAGTGTCAAAATCCTCTTTTCTGCTTCATCCATACGTTGCTGTTGTTTCTCAAGTACTTGGTTTGTTGTAGTTAATGTTCCTTTCATTGTTAATACTTGAGTGGTCACATCTTCCAGTCGATTATCAATATCATACAACTGACTCAGTATCATGGAACGCTGAGATTTCAATTCATTCATAATCCCAACAAGAGAAGGGTTTTCTCTCACGAGAATCATCCACTCCACCAAATGTTTGGACCTCAGGGCCTGTTTTGGATCGCTGATTTCTCCTTGACATCCTGGCTTTTTCTTTTTATCTTTCACACCAGAATTCTTTCCTTAAACCTTAACTCACAGTTTAGATCAAAATAAAAAAGAACATTGGAGGTAAAACCTTAAATTAATCACTGAAGTCACTGAGGTGGTGCAGAGCAGCCATCTTGGTTCCTCCAACAATTTTTCTCAATCAGACTCTCCTGATGAGTTCCACTCACTTTACCAATCTGAGATGAATAACTGGAACATGCTAGAACGGGATATTTTATATAATCAAAAAATGTCTCTGAATTCAATCGGAATCCCATCTAGACCTGGTGATTTACCTGATTTGAAGGAATTAATTGCTTCATGAGGCTCATTCTCAGAAATCATACCCTCACAGTCTTTTTTCCGAGATTCTGACAACTTTTTATGATAGGAGGCGGGGAAAAAAGATTGATAGAGGCCTAGTAGTGGGCAGCTTGGATTTTTTTGAAGTATAAATATTTTGAAAAAAGGACTTTCCTTCTTCTAAAATTTCCTCTGGTGAAGTCCCTCTCACTCCTTCTGTTAGTTTTCCGAGGTCTCATAGAGATCTGAGGGAGCTGACTAACCTGATCAATTTTGTCACTTAGACTATTTCTTTCTTGTAATAATTTATTTTAATAACTTTTATTCAACTTGTGATTCCAAGAAAAATATTTAGTGGAGAGTCCCCTAAAAGAACATTTAAATGAGTCCCATACAATATGAGGGTTAGCACCAGAGTTGGGTATAACGCGTTACAAAGTAACGTGTTAGAGTACTTTGATTACTTTTTGCAGTAACAAGTAACCTAAGGCGTTAGTTTGCTGTTTGAGTAATCAAATACTTAAGTACATTTTCAAACAAGACATCAGTTACTTTTAGAACGCTGGTCCTTCAGCTCCGAAACAGCAACGGCTGTTGTTTGGTTCTAATAACGGAGATAACGTTAAACCTATCAGTCTGAAAGAAGCCACGGAGCTTGTGGCTCGCTACGTGGTCGGAGAAATGCTGCCGGTGGAGTCTAAATAGGTGGAGTAGGACTCGCTGACATATTTCAGACTCAGGACTTGCATTATGCCTGGTACACATACATTTGAAGCGCCATACGTAAACTATTAAGCTACTGTATCTTCCACAGGAAGTTCTGACAACTGCTTCAGAATAAAAGCCTATTTAGAAAATGGAGGGATTCTCTCAACCGAGATTATAAGGGGCTTTTAATTTGAAACAAGTGTTGAGTTTGAAATGACGGTGCGATATGTTAACTTTAAAAAGACAACAGAGCAGATAAAAAGTAAATATATAAACACACAGAGGGATTAATAAATAACGGACCGTCTATAATGTAGTTTGTTTCAAATGAAGCTGAGAGCCTCTGCAGTCGTGGTGAGTAAAAGCCCCACGGCTATTTAGGGGGCCAAGCCCGAGGGGCCTCGGGGAACGCGTATGCAAGCATACGCGTTTCCTAGGACCAGCGGTGCTAGGAACCCTATTGTTTTTGTAAAGATTTTTATAGTATTTTTATTCTTCCGTTGATAAAAGTAGTGCTGCAGGCTAAACCGTGCAAGGGAGGGTGGTGCAATTTGGAGGGTTGGTCCAGACCCCTGCACGTACCTCAGACGCAAAAAACTACATATGTCCACATGCAGGGGGCGCTATAACCAAGGCCAACGTGTTTTGGCCTGTAACTCCCACACCGTATGTCGTACATTCAAAAATGTTATATCCCCAGATTCCCTGAATAGAGCTGAATCACTTTGCAATTGGCCACGCCCACTTCCGCCTATAATTATTTTTCGCAAAATCACAAAAACTGGAAAACCTACTTCAAATCAGAACATTTAAACTCTAGTTCATGACATTTAGCGGGAGAGCTAGAGCCATTTGACTAACGCTGACGTTATTACTGCTGTAGCATGATGTTGTTAGGCTAAATATTGCATTTCTAACAGTGTCTGTGCTGATTTATTGACACAGTATGCTTGTAGGCTGCTATAACATTAGGTTTACAGAGGAAATAACGGGATGTGACTTAATGGGGTGAAAATATCGTTAGTATAACAGAAACAAGCGTTAGTTAGGGGACAAGAGTCAAGAGTCACAAAGACTCACGTATGTTAAAAGTTACTTAGGCTACAACCGGTGTATTTACTGTAGGCTATGTGTCTGTGGAACGCCTGTGGAACGAGTAACGTGACCACTAACTTGTCCCCAAATGAACGCATGTTTCTGTTAGGCCTATGTGTTTCACTAACATTCTGTATGAATTATGAAGAATGTCAGACTGGCCAGTCAGTGGCAGAGTTGGGCCCGGAGTTTCAACTGACACAGAACCAGCACGGTGCCGGTTCCCGAACCTAATTAAGTAGGCTACTTACAACGGCATGAAAGACAATCTGATATTCTGTTTGTTATTGGTTATTTCCTTAAAAACTATGATTTTATTCTCGTAATATTATGACTTTAATCTCATAATATTATGACTTTATTCTCGTAATATTATGACTTTTTCTCAGTTATGACTTTATTCTCGAAATATTACAAGTTTTTTCTAGTAATATTTCGACTTTATTCTCTAAATCTCCAATTTTTTTTTTCTTCAATGTGGCCCCAATACTCCGTCGTAGGTTAGCACTACCAACATTATACTTAAAAAACTCAGAAATAAAAGAAAAGATCATCATCTAATAAAGAATGATAAAACTTCCAGAACCCCAGACCTCTGAGAACATCATCAATCATCACATGGAGTGTTATAAGTGCAAATTCTACATCTCACCAGAAATAAATCAGCTTCTCTAATTTCTTTGTACAATTTGTAAAATGACAATACATTTTATTCTGATTCTGATTCTTATTTGTAGATGACTACATTCTCATCTGTTTCTCCTAAACCCCCCATTGGAGAAATAAGGAGCAAAAGAATAAATCAGCAGAAGTTCTTTTGCTGTGCTCAGAGGCTTCTCAGGGTTTTCTCAACTCTGACAACATTTATTGTATACAGAGTTGAGACTTGAATTTGATCACTTAACAATTTTTTGAAATTGTGCAGGCTCATTTATGAGCCAATAAAGTTTTCTTTTGGATCCCATTGTTATCTCAAGAGGTCATTACTTCAGACAAATGCAGATTACTGCAGTGAGAGAGAAGAAAGAGCTCCAGATTTCTTCAATTGCAAAATACCTCCTGAGTTAGCGAATTGATCCTCTGCTGTAGGTTGGTGGTCTCTGACTGTATTACACTGGTATCCTTGAAGATGGGCTCACAGGAACAGCAGAGTATCCTCTCCTCTCCAAAGTCACCGATCACAGGAAACTGAAAGAGAAGAGAGGAGATAGACTTTCCAAAAAAGAATAAATTCTCATATTACAAAAGTCTTATTCAATCTATAATTTTGTGTGTGTGCGCTGCTCTCCACCTTGACCTCGTAGTGTTTGAGCTTCTTCTTGATGCTGCTGTTCTCCCTTTCCAGACTTGCCAACCGGGTCTTAATGTCATGATAGGCAGCAGCCAGGGCCAATCCTGATGCTGGGTACATGTCCTCTGGCAGCCGATTGGCCGACCAGCTGATCCCCGGGACGCCTACATCATCTCTCAGCCCCTCGCCTCCTCCTCCCAGCAGCCCTAGCTCTCCTCTGCGGAATAGATCCATTGTCAGTTAACTGTGGAAGAGGGAAAAAAAGATTGTTTTTGGTCTTCGGGAAATGTAGCGCAGAATACACAGACAGTACTTTAGGCAGACAGACAGGAAGGCGAGTGGCCATGTCAGCTCAGCAAGTCACTTTGCACTCTCCACCTCACACAGCAGAGGCACTAATGGCAATCAGTTCACCAAGCCCCATGTCCTGGCAGAAGTGAGAGTCACTGAGTGTGTGTTTGTGTGTGTGTTTTTCTAAACTGCCAGGTGCCCACTGAGCCCCACAGGTTTACTGTTTGCCATCTGCTGCCATAAAGTACCTCCTCTCTTCCCTGCCCCTGTCTCTCACCGGCAGTTTTCATGGTTACAGTTGAAAACTGATCCCTCATCGCAAAAAAAAAAAAGAGAAAAATTTTCAGTTCAAAACCACACCTGCAAAAGATAGGATCAACTGGCTTCAAACCAGTTGTGATGTCACAAAAATCCTGCTGGTACATCCAGGTGTTAAACTGAGATTTGAGGTGAGCTCAGAAAAAATCATCCCCCTTCAGTAGATGAATGTGAAACAAACTCTGCACAGTGAAGCTCAAACATCACAGTAAGATAAAACTAAGCCAAAAACATTTTTGAGTGAAGGGGCCTTTAATGCAAAACACATACATATTTGGCTGCTACAGTAACTACAGCACAGCAATATTGGTGTGTGGGTGTTACGCTCTGACCTGTAGAGTAACCCTGGTGTAGCATAAAATGAGAATAATGCAAGCAGCAGATTAGGAGGGATTCTGCAAAGACAAAGATCGGATGAAATTTGGCTACATTAGATTAAATTCAACTATACTGCCATTGCACAAAAGTGCAAAAAGCAGTTAAGGGCAGAGTGGTGAACAGAAAAATATACATAATAATATACAGAATAAATAAAATGTGGAGTAAACAGTAAGGGGTATGAGTAAAAGGGTATGAATATGATAGTTTTACAGTATTAGCTGTATGAACAGTATTAAAAGCATTTACAATGTGTATGAATACACATGGACAGCATGAGCATGGTAGGCAGTGCAGGCAAGTGTAAAATATGTAACCCTAGTGCAGAGTGTAAATATAAGTCATGTTATTAGTAAGAGATCATATACAGAATGCACAGCTGGAGGTATGATATGCATACAGTGAATACACTATAGATCCTAAATGTACAGTATACTGTAAACAGTGGTATACATATGAATGCTAATACTGTGGCAATACTAATTCCCCAGATTTCAGCAGGTTGGGAAAAATATATATATTTACTTGTAGAAAGTCTCATTAAAGCCTTAACAATGAACATGCCTCCATAACAATAATATAATAATAATACGTTTATTTGTATCAGGGACAATGTACAAAATAACATTAGTCTCAGAATGAGAAGAGATGCTGTGTACTGGATTTAGCTTACTAGCTACTTTCCATCCGTGGTCCCTGGGCAGGTGGGTAAGGACAATAAGAAGGTACAAAGTGTCAACATACAAAACAAAACAATCATCTATACACATGTGCATACACACACCCACTCACGCATCACAAACACTCAGGTACAAAACATATTTCATAACAGAGGGAAATAGGAACATACATACATATTAACCCTATGAGCCCTAGGCACTTCTGGGGGCATTTTGGGCATTGGGGGGGACAAATGTCCCCCTCAATGTATATAGTGACTACGGCCCTGTCATGCATGCATAATTGGGCTACAGTTGTCTGGGTGCACAAAGGTGAAGTGGCTGGTCTTGTCATACAAAGTTTGATGGAGTGTCAACTGGACAATATGGAGATATTTGCATCTTGAAAGCCGGACTACAAATGTGGATAGACAGGAAGAAACACACGCAAGACTAAGACGTGGTAAGATATGATATTCCTCACTATATGAAGTGACTGATAACAAGATCTGTATCATGGATTGTAAAGAAATTCGTCAGGTTTTTATTTTGTAGACAATTAATCTGGATTTTGAGCATCATGGGATGACAGCACAATGATGTGTGTGATATCACATGAAAGCTCTGCTCCTGCGCTTTCATGTGATATGTGTGGCATTTCTGTGCGAGCCTGCATTCGCGAGTAATCCATCCAAGAGTAATGTGTGTGCAAAGCTGTATGAAAGCTCTGTTATACATAATTTTAGTGTAAATTTATCATTCTTTTTCGCTGTGAAAACATTGGACTACCGAAAAGTGGTCTTGTCGGAAAGCCACAATTCCGCTGTTTCACGTGATATGCGTGGCTTCTCGTTATGACGCACGGTCGCGGAGAAAATCAATAGAGAAGAACAGGTGTGAATTTGGACGCACTATGTGTCGTTCGGGCCCATAGGGTTAAACATATCCCTCTTTGATAATGATTAAATGCGTTTACAAATGGGGTAGAGGTTATGCTGGGTCTCGGGGAAATAAAACAGTAAATAAAATCACTATATAAAGCTTGCAAGCGTTAAGTTATCATTAAACTAGTCTCTATATACAGACTCTACATTCAGTGAGCGTAGAGTCTGTATACAGTCTGTAGGCAAACCCTAGAGATCTTGCCTCCGAAAGAAGAGCGGAAGAGCCCTGGTTTCCGGTTGTAGGCTGTTTGTAGTCCGCATGATATTGACCAATCATGTTTGAGCCGGCTGCAGTTGTTGCCAGGTTAAACGGTCCGTGCAGTGAACTAACAAGGCGGAACATAATTGGCGTCACTGCAAACTTTGAATCCATCACAGTGGTTCAGCATATTTACTTAAACAGAAGTCGGAAACGGAAATTCGCCTCCTCCGCCCAAATCAAACTGGAATGCCAAAAAGTCTGGGGTCTGCCCCCAGAGGCTGTATCGCCGTCTTCGGGAAGTCAGACATCGAACGTGGGTTCCGAGAATGTCGTTAAACAAGCTAAGCTCTTGCACAAAAACACCAAGATGCATGTGACTTTGTGTAAAGGGATTCTTTAATATGCTTTATTTAGGTTTTAAGATGCACAAAATCACCCTCAAATAGCACAGCAAAAGACAGCATTGAATTCTCAAACGGGCCTAAAGACCAGAGTTTCTGGCTGACGATGTTTGCTAACATAAGGTCTGCATTTGATTGAGGAAGGGTTGGAATGTTCTGGGTGTGCATTTCCTCTCCTCTCCAAAGCCTTCAGGAAGGGCGTTGTCACACCCTGATTGGCCCAGAGGTGAAATGCACCAAGCTGCTCTCCATTCTTAAATAGAAGTCAGAACCCACACCCTGCACAACAGGTGACCTGAATTGCCCTCTAATCAACTCCAGGCAACTGCAACATCCAGCCAAAAATGAACTCAAAAAGGGATTTGACAGCAGGTACCAGACAATGGGGACCACTACACTTTACGATACAATGACAGAATGACAGAGGTTACAAAATAAACATTGTTAAACGCAATATAGACCTAATATGACCAGATTTCATTATAATGTATCAAGGAGGAAAATTTGTGTTTCATTTGGCCATGGTAACTGTTGCACTGTAATAAACTATGGTGCAGGCCGACTGATAAATTCACTAACTAATAGGCAAAATATGTATAAATCTGTTTTCTTTGTAAGTATAATTTAGTTTTGTTTTTTTTTATTGGTTCCAATGGTGCTACTTTCATTTACCCTAAAACTTCAGTTATAAGCTAGTCCCTCTTACTAGCCTGGTGTGATACACATTCTGACAAATAGTCGCCTGTCTTAAAGAGACGCTTGGTCTGGTTGCCAGGCAGTTCATTCTTTTAAAGAAATTTCTTGAATGTATAAAGCCAGGTTGTTTGCTACCTTAAATTATGCGTCCATTCTACAATTACCCTGTAAATTATTTATATTCCTTTAGTCCATAAGAGTCCTCAGATCAAAAGGGTTTCTCATAAATATTAATCCAAGTTATGAGTATTTTTTTTAGCAGGGTAAAGTGGTGTTGTGTCAGTTTACTGTTTCCATCATCCTGTAACTCTCTCTCTCTCTCTCTCTCTCTCTCTCTCTCTCTCTCTCTCTCTCACACTCTGATGCGCCATTTGTCGGAGTTTGATCAAAATAATGATTCACAATTGATAGATTATCTGAAGCCTAATTTTTATACAAGTAATATTCATACTGGTTTAAATTAACTTTTTGATTGTATTTCCTGATCTTTACTGAACAACAGTTTGTGTGATAGGAATTAGAGGCTTGTCCCAAATATAAGCCTGTTGAGTCTGTTAAATCAGTGATTTAAGCAAATAATAGCCCAGGCTATGAACTGATGTTTTACAGTAGTAGTATTTTTTTGCTTATTTAATTTTGTTGTATTGCCTATTCTTATTAACATATTCTGAATATAATTGGATACTTTTTCTGTGTGTTTAATGCAAAGGAGGCTTCAGTCACATGTTGTATAATATCAAAGAGTCCTTGAATCCTTGATCAGCAGACTTGCCAAACTTCAGACAACATTGCCTAGATGATGCTGATTAATCACAATGAATTCACTTAAAAATCTGAAAACCTGAAAACAACTTCAAGTTAATTTAGTTCATTGTTGACAGCAACTATAACATTATTTTGCAACATGCTTTTTAAAACAGTGGATTTTTTCTTTACACTGGTGACTCTCTTTACAGCCTAAAAGCAGTAGGTATCTACTCCATGATGTTGCTCAATATTAAGTCACAACTACGCACTGCTGATCCACTGGTTACATTTTGTGCAACCAGCATCAGGCTGTTATAAGATTACCATAGAACATCAAACATGTTGTTTTGATTACTTATTCTGCTCAGTTTCTCCTGCACATCAACAGGTGTGTTGGGCACTGATACATTAGAAACTGTTCGTACAGCTTCAAGAAAAATTGTGAATCACTTGTGACTGCAGTGCTGCACAGGTGTGCCGATCAGGTGTGCCGATCTGCAATGATCATTTCAGAATGTGGTCTGTTTTTTCCAAGAGCTGCAAACGAGGCAAACAAAACTCACCAATAGTAGACTACAAGCGATATAGAGAATATATTAGATGTGTTA